CTAACCCACTCCAAACTCACCCCAACCACAGCAAAATCTCCCATGCCTACAATTACACTTGTAATCATGCTCTCGGCAAATCCAAGGACCACAAAGAGTCTCCAGGGGTAGGAAGTAGTTTGTCTTGTCTGTCTTCGCAGAGTTAGCATATTTACTCAGCAACATTGCATACCGACAACATTTTGAGATGTCCACTCTCAAAACGCCCACTCTATACGGAGGTCCCTCAGGTCATTATCACAAAATAACCTGCATTCCAATGCTGGGCACGTAAGATCCTTCCTTATAGGATATTGTCAAGAAACTTTTGCCCTGAGTCTCCAGGCCTTGCAAAATTTAGCTCTCCTAGAGGCAAGCAGGGGTTTGGTCTCACTTAAAAAAAATTAATAGCCATGGCTACAGTAAGAAGGTGAAAAACCAACAGCCCCCAGAGATAGGGGCATTTTGAGAAAAATCAACACGCACATGTAACTTCTGTTAGCATTAGGTGGAAAGTGAAAGGATGAGTGGGAATGGACACAGGCTGAAACGAGGGAAATTCCAACGAGATATGAGGAAATTTTTTTTTTCACAATGCGGGCAGCCAAATACTGGAACTGGGGCCCCCAAGCGTTGTGAAACTTCATCCTTGGAGATGGCCAAAACTGGACCAGACAAGGCCTGAGCTAGCTGATCTAAGTTAGCCCTGCTTTGAAGTGGGGTTGAACCAGAGACCTCCAGAGAGCCCTTCCAACTTGAATTATTCTAAGACTTTCTTAATTATTTTGCTCCCCAGTGGTTTAAGCTATGTACGTATCCTAAGGAGACTTGCAGGTGTAGCCAGTGAAGTCATGGATACGTTACAGATAGCACGTTACCCTGGCCCAGGGCCCAGTCAATGTGCACCACCTTTCAGGTATTTCAGGTCACGAGCAGTTCACATACCAGCAGGCAAAACACTGTCAAGGGCACTGGCAGTCGGACGGACCCTCGAAGAGAAGAGCTCTGCCCTGAACCACATGACCCTCCATTTCCAAGCACCGGTGACTAAAAAGTTAGTCATTCATTTGGAATGACTTGTAGCAGCTAATGAAGACGACGGGTTTCTCTCTGCAAGCCTCGCACAGATAAACATAATCTGCACAAAGCATACTGCCACCCATTTCTCCTTTATACCACCCTCTTAACGGCCCCCTCTCTTCAAATGACTTGTAATGTGGGACTCTACAATTAGACAGGAGCACAGCAATTGGCTACAACCAGACGCAGGTTAATCCACCGCGCACAAGCACTGCCCCCCAAGAGACAGAACACCTAACTTGCACCTGCGGTTAGAAGGTCACAAACTCAGTGTAACACTGAGCGTAAGCTCATTAGCTGAATTTTCAGAGTCCATTTGCTCTAAATGCCTGCAGCCGCCTCTTGCACAGAGTAAACTCTAACCTGATCCAGCCTCAACACCTAATTTTCCACGGACGCTTTACCAAAATTAATGGGAATATACTCTTTCCTTCAGTGCACTGTGTTCTGAAAAGAGACTAGTGCAGACTTTCGCATCTGCTCAAATACTTCTGAAATTTAGGTGTCACACTCAAGTCACTATCACACTGAATGTTAACTGTCATCACTGGTCCGTTGCCACGTGCAGGTGCACAGAGGTGGCAAACTGAATAACGCCCTTTCCTCCCTAGTTAGCATAAGCCTTTTTGGAGGCTGTTACTTCCTTTTTCTTTTATTTATTTTTTTCTCTTTTTTCCCCTAAAGGCTTCCATCATGACTGTAGGATAGACGAAGAAAGTAGAAATAAACCAGCTCCCTTTCTCTAGAAGGCTCTTTGGCCCTTAGGGGTATCAGTCTCAGATATCACTGTAGGACCCCAGGTAGCATTCTAGCCCTACCGGATAAGCCCTGCTCTCCATATATCTGCCCCAAACCAACATTACAAGCATCTCTCAAGTTGCTGGAATCCATTTGAAGTGGTCGCGTGAGGCAGCCATCACCCCATTTTTCCAGCACCAACAGGTGAGTCCTCTAGCCATCGAACAAGCCATACCATGAAAGCATTCCCAAGTCCTTCATGATTACTGGCACCATCTGCAGTCAGCTCTGCTTGAAGAGGCCTTTTTTTCCTTCCTCATCAATACATTTACTTTTAGAATTATATTATAGTAAGGCTAAAGTCAAGCTTTAAAGTAAAAAGATTTGGCAAAAAGCTAAAAAACTTTAAAGAAAAGCAAGTAAAGTAAAACAAGGCTGTGCATAGCCACTACTCAGATAGGAGACTATTTAAAACCCAAGAAACGTAGCAGACATCGTCAGTGGTTCAGTGTAGCACTCTTCTCTAATTAGTTCTGACCCAAGGCCCCAGCATGGATCTTGAACCTACTGTGCTGTGGAAGATGTCATTTGTCACAGGAAGGTGTCAATGGTTACAAGGATTTGTGATGAAGCCTGCATAACACTTTTGAAGAGCCATGGTGCCACCAGCTCCTCCGCCCTAGTTAAGATTCCCGTTTGAGAAATTATTCATAGTACCTCTCATTTCTGAACAGCTTCAGTGGGCAAGGTTTTTATTCACTTATCATCAACTGACTGAGGAGTTACGTGAATTATTTATGGAGGCAGCCTGAGGGCACATTTCAAAGGTCGATTTAACATGGGTCTGTTCTACAGCATTGAAACAAATAACTGACACTCCCAGGCCCTGCTCAGTTCAGGAGCACAGGTAAGATCATAGCTAATCTAAGTTACTTGTCCAAAACAGAGCCATGCCAGCCATTACTGAATCTCAGCAGCAAGCCCTGAGCCAGGACTTTCCAAGAGCGATTAAAACCGCAGCCCGTCCGCTCCTAATCTTCAGGAGGAAAACTTCAGCTCTCCATTATCGTTCCTCAAATCACTCCAGTTGCAGCCAAGCAACACAGAGGTCTATGTAGTAATTCAGGTTACATTTTTAAATTACGTATCAGCACAGAGTTTTATCTTCACATTAACAGCTTCACCTTTCCCATAGTCTCTGCTTCCTGACCAGCTCAGGGCACATCTCACCGCTGAAATCGCTGCACTAACAGAACATACGAGAGTCCAATATTCGAGAGTGTATTTTTACACATTTCCCGCAGCTCTTCTAGGCAGAAGAGACCTTTCATTTATTTATTAATTGGACCCTTTCCTCAAAATCATTTTTTATGTAGCCAAACTACTGCCCAACTCCTGTTGGTAAGGAAAATACTCCTGCCTGTGGGTTAGCCTAAATTAGGAGAATATCTGGCAGGGAAGAAGAATCAGAAAGCAGAGACAGACGACAACATTTTGCTTTTAAAGATCTTGATCCTGCACTGTTAAGGTGATAAACCCATGTTCTTCCTTTCCAAGAACACAGAGTCCAGTGCTAAGGGTGGCAGGCTAGGTCTGCATCGCTACTGCAGGCAACTACAGGCAGAGGTATGAATCAAGTTTTCCAGGCCTCACCAGTTAGAAGTGACTCATATAAGCCTTGGATTAGAGCACTGGGACTGCTCTGCTCATTGCTGATAAGCAGCTGATTCCCTGCATACAATTTCACATTCAAAGCAAAAGGACTGGAAACCTTTCCTGTCAGCCCTGCTCCGACAGGCTCCCAGAGCCGCGTGCAACTCGCCAAGCTAACACCCACAAGCAGTGGCCCTGCTGAAAAAAAAAAAAGCCCAGCCCCACGAAAATGGCATCTGCAAACCATCGTCTTCTCCTGTACCACACTGCACGATATAAATCTGGAGGTAAAAGGTGCTGCTTTGTGAAGAGTATATACCAAAGCCACGTCTACATTATTCCAAAAGCAAAAGATGTCAAGTTCTTCTATCAATGCATATATTTTTCCTGGATTTTTAAAATATTCATTATGTCTGCCTTGCAAAAGAACTGCAAAATAACATACATTCCATAATTAGAAAGTACTTGGCAAAGATACCATGGGAAACAAACCACCCTAAACAGGCTAGGAATTTGAGAGACTCCCTCTTACAGGTCAGAGGAAAGTCTTAACCAAAAAATACAAATTTCCTCAGCCTGCCAAACGCATCCCGCTATCCATACCATACTGAGCAGAACAACGTTCCAGCAAACGTTTGACTGCTTGATAACTGAATAAATCAATGCCCTGCCAAAGAAGCAGCATTTAATATTGGAACAGGCTCAAAAACCAGGCCGAATCTCTTCCCTGTGCCATCACCTTTGTTAACAATTGTCAGGTTTCTACCCCCTTTTTGCTTTTATTGATACATCTCCCGTTCTCCCATGCAGGCAGTAGCCAGCTGTCCCCCAACAGATAGCTAGCAAGAGGAGCCTGGGCTCAGGGCATCTGCCCCTGGGGACACAGCATTTCTGGTCGGTTAGGAAACTGCAGACCTGAAAGGATGAAATCAAAAGCCCATTATATTCACTAAAAAGGCGGTGCAAGGTTGTAAAATTCCTTAATTTTACTGCAGACTTCATGACATCACTAGTTCTCAAAATCCTCTGATTTCTTGTGAAAGTCTTTTCATGATTATGGAGAAACGCTTGAAAGTATGATAGGTGCGGCCAAAAGGGCTCAAAAACCAGAAAACACACAAGAAATATTTAAATTATTATTTCAGATTCTAATTTATACTTCGTAATGCCTAAAACTGTCAATACGGGTTTTGTTCGTTTCAACAAAGTCTTCACCAGTGAGAACACCAAACCTCTCTTCTTCCCAAGCTCACTCCTTTACCAAAAAACAGAATATTACAAAAAATTCAGGGAGATGCACACCTCTTTTTGGACGTCCTACGCTATCCTTGTAAATGCCATTCGCTGTTTTGATACCTGATAGACGTGCCTGAGAAACTGCAGATTAAAAAGCACATGTGCAGCACTTGCATTTAGTTATGGCTCCTGCACAAACACAATAATTTTGCATCTATGACGTGAGTGAAAACAGAAACTGGGTTACTCTAACAAATTAAAATAATTTTTCCTTGCTGTTGCTCTCTGCTAACAAAGTCCCGCTTTGTAATTACCAGATGCCCTTAATGCGATGCCAGGCAGTCTCACGCATGTGGCTTTTCTCACTTAGCCCCACGCCCGCGCTGCCGTGGGTCTGACGGCTCCGTCTGTCGCTCTGCGGGCCTGCAAGACCGCCCTCGCTCCGGAGGACTGTGCAAACACACCGGACCCGTGCTGAATCCAGCAGTAACTGCTGAACTCGCCTCAACACCAAAGAGTTCAAAAACAACGGCCGCTTCAGTTCGATTGGTTTGCCCTCTCTTTGATAGTCTCGTTGTAAGCAGCTCCCCTGCCGAGCCCGTGGCAAGGACGAGAAGGGCTGTTTGGAAGGAGCTGTTAATACAAGCGGCCTGACTCAGTTCAGCTGATGCGCATTCCTCACAACTGACTTTCTAAACAGTCACTCCCAGTGGCAGGACCTACATCTTCCTTTTAAGGGGAAAAAATGTTTTCACAGGAAAAATTAAGCGCCCGAAGCCTGTGCACGTCTCAGTGCTTTCAGTGACCGGTCTCTCCTCTAAAAACACGTTCTCGTTGCGCGCAGAACCAAAACATCTCCCTCCTTAATATAAAATTGTTTCTCTTAACACAGTCATTAGCTTTCTACGGCTATTCAAATACTGGCAGAACCAGGTGAAACATACTCTCGAAGCGGTTTCCCACACAAGGCAGCACCAACAGGAGAGTCAGTTTTCCAGAGCACCAGGAAGAAGAGTTTTCAGAGAGAGGAACATGGCCGAGAAAGAACCGGCAAAACTCAGAGCTTGCAGACCGCGCTTTACAGCTCACGTCGGTGACTGGCGGTTCCTATTCCTTCACGTTTCTCTCTGCATTTCTGAAAAGAGGCTTAATGTTAGAAAGGGACTGAGACTGGAAAGCGTACTAAAACAAAAACTTCTTGTTCCACGGATGCTAGATAAGAAAGAGTGAGCAGTGCTGCTTTCCCTGCTTGTTAGATGAAGGAAACAGGATTTCCCTCTGCTACTCCCCGAACAAGATCCCAAGGAAATGTTTCTAATAATAGGAAATTACTATATAAGGCCAGATCAGCACTAAACTGTTTGCAGTCTGGAAAAGAAGAATATACAAGAGTGCCGAGGAGGGACACAACTGGCAGGACAGGGCTCTTCACCCATCAGTTTTCTCCAGGAAGGTGGCGTGCAGCAACCCAACGCGCCCCTCCGCAGAGACGGGCAGTATTTAACCTGTGACTCTTCGCTCCCGAGCGCAGAGGGGCCTCTCCCACAGCCCAAAATAGAAAACTAAATGTACAAATTAGAGCTGCTATGTCCTCTTTCTATCACGCCCCTGCTTTCTTCAAGGGAGGAAAAAGACGGAATAGACTCTTAAAGCTACAAAATAACGCCTGCAAAGCAAACAAAGCTACAAAAACAACGCTGAGCGCACCTCCGATGCAGAAAGGGCAGCACAAGACCCAGCCGTGCCCTAACGTGGGCTGTGGCCAGCGCCAATGCCGGAGGGAAGCGCACAGCTCCCCTGCCTGCCTTCCCTGCGCCGCCGCGGATCCGCGGAGCACAACGGTTTGCTGCTGCAGTGGGTGAACTGGGCAGCTCTCCCTTCTCCGTTTTGTTGTAAACTCTAAAGATGTTGGGCACGTGCGAAGGCTGCCCCTTAATTTTCAAAGCATTCCCAAATAGTTTGATATGTTAATGACTTGCAGGTCAACAGTTTCAGCAGCAAACAGTTGCATGCAACTACAACGTGCTAAGTTTCACCAACACTCTCAGACTCCCTCCTGTTTAGTGCTGTAATTTTAGCTCTTAGGTACGCTTTTTACTATCAGTTGAACAGATGCAAAACCTGCAAGTCCAGTTAAAGACATATTTTCCTTCATCTTATACAAATGAAAGGAGTTCCCACAGCAAACCTCACAAAGACCTGCTCTGGAGACAGCGATAAAACGAGGGAACGTTTCCCTGTGCTCCCCAGGGAGGGGTACCTTTCCATCTCTGCCTTGTCTTTGGATAAAGCCAGCAGCTCTCGGCACCCCGTGCACCGAAGCTTGCTGAACAAGCCCAAAATTACACAGTCGCACAGCTGCCATGGAAATGAGTACGTCGTATGTTCCTAGGCAGGTTTATCACCCAGACTTTTCTTCTTGATAGGAATAGATCTTTGAGATAGAACGTACAAATAATTTTGTATCTGCATCCCTGCAACCTCCTACCTGTCTTCTGTCTACAGCTGCAGCTCCTGTAGAGTTGCACAGCTTCCAAGGGGCTTTGAGGCCAAATCCCACCCCAGAGTTTCAAAGTATTGGCTGGTAGGCCTCCTTGAGCTGAAGTGGTCAGTTTGCCACAGCAGTTAGTCCTTAAAAAGGACTGCTGCCTTAGCTGCCTTAAAAAGGCAGCTAAGCTTCCCTTACGAAATACCCGCTGATGAGATGCGAAGACAGACTATTCTGACAGCAGAGGTGCGATTCGGCATCGCGGCGGCAGGAGTTCTGCAGTCCCGACGGGAAGGTGGCGGAGATTTACAGTTCCCTATGCTGTTCCCTGAAGACCGCTCCCGAGTAGCCAGGCTCTCGGGTACACTCATCTCTAGTTGCTCATGCCTCGGCCTTGTCCCTGTGCTACGTGGCTAGAAAAGGGTGTGCACCCAAGGGTGTGTTCAGCTTTTCAGTGCACCTAGCAATTCTGTCCCAAGAGGATGTTACACATTGGACTTATCATGAGGGATGTGTTAATTTCTGAAGACTTTTAAACTAGCTTTCAATTGTTGTCCAATTAAATATTTCACATTCTTGCACGCACAGCGAGGGGGAAGACAAGAGGAGGCAAAAGGCAGGGTTTTTTCCAGAACCAGAAAACAAAAGCTCTTATGATTTTTAGATAAAACCAATTACAACTAAGTATTTTAGATTAAACACCTTTATGCCCTTTCCCTTATTGAATAACCCCTGCATAACAATTATAAAGCAGTTCAGAAAGATGGCATGTGCTGGAATTGCTCGTGGTCAGTACGATGTCAAAGCTAATTAATTTCAGAAAACTAACGCTGGGGGAACATAGCTCCTTGTGCATCTAATGACATGTCAGTACAACGTCTCAACTCTAAGCCTTGACCCTAATGCTGCTGTCTTCTCTATTTATGTCTTAGGAGGCAATCAATAAGCTGTTTGCTCAGTTTCAGAAAGTCTGCTCCAAGAGAAATAAGGTATTTGTCCCGGCCCTATAGTGAGAAGAATCATTGGTATGAGACCAGGAGTCTGGAAGCAGAGATCAACAGTCCCTGCTAGTGTTACATAAGACGTGAAGTCTTACCCCAGTTTCTCGGCCGATTGGCCACTGATACAGTTGCAAAATTCTTCTCCAAATATAGGAATCGTCCAACTAAAACTGCTGATATCAGAACAGTAAGTTTAAACTGCCTCACTTACTTTACCAGCTAAAATCTGAAATCTAGGGAAGATTATTTAAATAACAGTACTGTTAACTATGTCACTGCATATCATTTTAGAGACATCCAAATAATGGATTTAGCTACAATCTCAGATTGCTTTGTAGAAAACAACTAAACTCGACCTAATTGTCGTATCTCCAGCCCCTTTTATTTTTTTTAATTGACAGCTTTCATTAATGCAGTTGTACATTAAAACAGACCACACTCAAAACCTGACCACTTGACACTGTGAAAAATAGCGAGAAAAGAAGAGGAGAAAGAAGAGGAGAAAGAAGAGGAGAAAGAAGAGGAGAAAGAAGAGGAGAAAGAAGAGGAGAAAGAAGAGGAGAAAGAAGAGGAGAAAGAAGAGGAGAAAAACTCTCCCTCCAAAATAGCCCAGCTAACTTGTTTCTTTTAGCTAATCTGAAGCTTTTCCCTTTGGGAAAGTCTGAATAAAGCTATCGTTGAATTTCTAGTTTGCGATCAAATCCATGAGCTTCTCTGCTACCCAGTGACTTGAACACACCTAGATGATTTTAGGCACGTTTGAGCTTCTGATGTCATAGGAAGCACAAAAAGTAAAGGCTACATGGCTAAAACCTTCTTGAAAATGCAGGTGAGGGGATCCCATATGGAATACAATTCCTGAAATTCAGCTTTATTATAAAATAGCTTGTAGATGAATGATGCCACAACAACTATTTCTGCTCCCCGTTCCTGTCAGCATAACACAAAATTCTCTAGCATGGAATATTTTAAAAAGTATAAAAAAAAAAGTATTATATCACTATAATTTGTACCCAAGCTTAGGGAAACAGGGATATAAACACTTTTATGTTGGTATAACGGCATAGATTTGTTCCACATAAAGTCTATGGATACCTTAAGGCAGGGGGCACCAATCTGCAAGTATTCTCGGGACGTTTCGTTCTGCTGCCAGAAGCGGGTGATATCTGGGAGAAACGACATTCGTATTTTCCTTTTGGGTGTGACTTTTTTTGATGCAAACTTAGCAATGCCATAAGCAAACTACAAACTATCAAGTAGAGCCAAGTTCCGGGAGCCCAGGAAAAGGGCACAGTTAATGTTTTAGCTACTCTAACAAACTGAGTAGTTTTTCATTTGACGACTTAAAAGCGTAGAGTTTACAGGCACAACTTGTACTTCCATCACTCCCCGCTCCGCCCCCCTCCATGTCCCAGACTGACATTGCTGGCCTAAGAAAGGCAGCTATTTTGCCGTGATGAAAAGTCATAAATAAGTTCTATTAAAAATATCAGGAACACATATGGTACTGAATTTCTTTCAGATCCTTCTCTGTAAGGCCACAAAAAACACTCTTCGGTATCGTGATGGCATAAAGCCCTCTATGAAAAGTTTAAGGAAAAAGTCAACACTAGTCTGAAGTAAAACTGGAGTCATAAACCCAAACTAGATCGTACACCCAAAATAAGAATATCCAATGATCTGTAGAAATTCCAAATCACGCTAAAAAGAATGGCCTAGGCAGTTTCCAAAAGCAGAGGGAAAAAAAGTAGACGCACAGCGCAGACTGGCTATCTGGCAGCGTGTCAGCTTTGAGGCCTGGCAGCCAAGGGGAGCACGTGGGCAGATGATATTGCAGCTGGCTTGTGTCTGAGCTGCTTCCCTTTACCCCGTCTGTTCTGTTGCTTCTGAAAAGGAGAGTAAAAGCCACCAGATGAAGGGTGTTGTCTGAGGAAATCTCCTTCTGACCAGTTCAAAAGCACCCCAGAGATCCCACAGTGAATCCAAAATCCTTGATTTTGTGTGAATTGCAACCATTTTTGCCCTTAAATAGGTAAATCCCCAGTTAACAGCAAAACGAGGAATAAGGAGTTGCCATCGTCTTGGCAAAAGCATGCCAGGATACCTGGAAAACACAGACCTCGTTTCAGAAAGACATCCCACATCCACTGGCACCCTAGTGCCCTTTAGCATCAGCTTGCACTCACCAAATGATCCAACTTAATGCTTTCCAACATTTTAAGGAATGAGTTCTCCTATTGAATCAAAACTCCACTAAATCAACATTTTTATAGTAAAAGAAGAGTTAATCATATCGACCGTAAAGAAAAAAAAAAAAGTCACTGGCTTGCAAGGTAGTATCCTTTGAAGTACAAGAAATGACATCTCCAAGATATGGTTTCAGCTCTCTGCACGCTCAGGAGGACTACGCTTTCCTGCTCACAGCATTTTCAAGATTTTCTGCATTATTAGGGACATAGATTTAATCAAAAACAAAGACAAAATGCACACTGAAAAAAAAACCAAGAGGCCTATTCCTTTGTGGTTCTCAGGAATGCGTGTTCCACATCTGGATAAACATGGGCCTATGCAGCGAATGGAAACATTCATTCCCCAGCTGTGGCCAGGTCCAAATCCCTTCTTTCTTTTTCTTTCTTTATCTCTGATTTACCTATGGTCCTGCACTGGGTGGCTGAGAAACTGCAAACATTTTGCTGAGGCAGACAAACTATGCA